TTTTCCCTAAAGACACCAGAAAAAGCACAGTCTTGCCAATATCTTAATTTCTAATCTTTAGAACTGTGGGGCAAATTTCTGTTGCTGTAAGCACCCCAGTTTTTGGTATTTTGTTAAAGTAACTATACAGAAAAATTGTTGAAGCAAATGAGGAGAGGCTGACCAAATAGGCTGAGAATTTAACTGTGCTCCAACTGTGTCATTCAGTGCTCAACTGCAGGAAATAGAAACCAATACAGCTATTGTAAACAGAAAGGAATTAAACACAGAGAATTAAGCACTTACAAAGTCAATGGAAAGATGAGAAGTGGGCATTAGGCTGGGTGGTTAAGAATGCCTTTCAGTACAACATTGCCAAACAGGACGACTGGGAACTGCCAGCCCTGCCCCAATGGGGAAGTGGTAAAATAGAAAGTAGGAATGTTGGCTTCAAGAATATTCTGCGTTGGGAACCAGCAGTTAGCGTAATGGCTATGTCGCTGGACTCCCACGTAGTCGACCGCGGTTCGCGTCCCGGACCCGGTGGCTTAAAACTCACGCCGGGCGCGTGTGCGTGCGTGCCCATGATCCCGAGAGGAGAATGGAGGAGAAGGGATTGCGGCGTGACCATCCCCCCTGGGGGGTGATTTCTCGCTTTCTATCTCTATGTCTCTCTCTGTCTGTCTGGCGAGCGCACGCGCCCTATAGCGAAAATCTCTCTCAAAAAAAAAAAAAAAGAATATTCTGCGTTAGCTGTGATTTAAAGATCAGGAAAACTATGACTGCTGCCAAAACTTTCAACACCAAATATGAATGATCTGTTGCTTACACAGTTACCCAAAACTTAAAAAGAACAATAAACCAGCTATAAACATGTATTTGTTGTTATGGCTTAAAACAACAAAAATCTATTTTCGCTCACATTTTCTGTTGATCAAAAATTTCAAAGCAGTTCTGACTCTGGAATTCTCTTGGGGTTTAGCCATATTTTGACTTGGTGAGCAGTCATCTGAAGGCTTAACTGGGGATAGATGATCCAAGGTGGTTCACCTATGTGGTTGACATGGTGGTTTGTCATTGCTTTTAGACTTTTCAATGGATAGAATCCGGAAATTTACACACACACACATGTAAATATATAATTCTTTTCTTTTTTAAGAGAAATAAAAGCTATCATGGGTTTAGACTAGTATTTCATTTTCCTTTATTTATTTATTTATTTTTTTGGCCAGAAGGTACATGTGCTTGCCAATGAGACAGAGAAAGGAAGAGAAACCCCCTACCCCAATGTGGTGTGGTATACAATCCCTTCTCTTCTATTCTTTCATCCTGCTAGATTATTTGGGGCATGCATGCACACAAGCCTGCATGCTTTTTAAGCTGCTGGTCCAAGATCCAAACTGTAGTCAGCCATGTGGGTCAGGCTCCCTTCAACCGTTAGGCTATAAGAGTGGTAATTTCAATGAGAGTTTCACATTAAGTGATTTCTATTTAACATTTTTTAAATGTGTGTGTTTAAATGCTATATTTTTAAATAATTATTTTAACTTTTTTTTTCAATTTGACCAGAGGGATGAAAGTGTGTGTGTGTGTGTGAGTGTGTAAGAGAGAGAGAGAGAGAGAGAGAGGGAGAGAGAGAAAGATGAGAAAGCAAGCCGCCTGGTCTGGGACTCAAACTGCATGTGGGAGTCTAGCACCCTTAACCACACCACCTGCTGGTCCCTAAATGTTAATATTTTTGTATCTAGCAACATTAGCAAAATTATTTTTCATTTTGACCTCAATATATATAATTTTAATATAATGCTAATATTACAACTAATAAGACTAAAGAATGAACTTTGCTAAGATTTCTTTGCAGTTCTATTTGTCCTTGGAATATATTCCACTAAGGATATTCATTTAAAATACTGTTTTCTGGGACCAGAAGATGGCATAATGTTTACATCACTGGATTCCTACATTGTTGACCATGGTTCCAGTTTCAGATTATTTAAAACCCACACATTCATTCATGTGTGCATGAATGCCCAAAATCCCTAGAGGAGGATGGAGAAGGGATTGTGGTGTGGCCGTCCCCCTTGAGGGTTGATTTCTTGATTTCTGTCTCTGTCTCTCTGGTGAGCACATGCGCCCCATAACAAAAATCTCTTGAAAAAAAATTGTTTTCTGACATCATTTGGATAATTCTTTCTCCTGTACAGTTACTCCTATGTGAAATGCATCCATGTCCTGTATAAAACCTCTCCTCACTTAAGATTTGGCTTTCTGGGATCCTCTCCACTAAGAACTTATTTAAGGACATTGAGTAAATGACAGAATTTGAACCCAGTCAGTCTGTTGTACTCATTTTCTACCTGCACTAATACCTTGGCTAATTTGCTGAAGGTAGATCTGGGTTTCCAAAGAGCTCAGTGAAAGAGTTTGAGCAGGCATGGTGGGTGAACGAGAAGGATTGAGTCAGATTATCAAGGCTCAGACTTCTGCTGGGGACAAGTAAATATGGATGTGAGCATAATGAGATTAATCTGGCCAGTGCATCTCTGGTTTGAGTCTATTGTGAATACTTATTCTACAGCTCTGAATGGTCTAGCTGTGCGGAAAAGCAGTTTTCTTAACCAGGAACAGGAGGTGCTGTGAAGGCTTCTAAGCTGCTGTTCTCTCCTGTTTTCCTGTTCTCTTGATCAGCTCTTATACATTCTATTAATATATACTTAAGCTTAAGGCTGCTTCTAGGAAAAGCTTTCCCTCACGTCTCCTACATTACACTGGGGCACCGTGCTATGCACACACATGCCATCCTATTCTTCAGCATTTTTCTCCCACCGGGATTCAAATTCAGTGAGGAGAAGGCCTCTCAATTAAAACTTGTTAAATTAATGTGATAGATTAAATGAATGAGTTAAAAATTAAGGTTGAGAGATCAGAATGGTTTGGCCTGCTAGCAAAAGCTTGTCTGCTAGTGCAAAACTGAAAACCAATATCCAAAGCTAAAAGCTTGAATATCTGACAAAATAGGCTAAAACCTGGAACTTATACAGACGTGTGAAAATCCATGGGCGAAGCGAACACATCCAAATTCTTAAATTTAGGAGAGAAATACTAATCACTGGGAGGCATTTTTTAAGGTAAAGAAAGATATTGTCACTAACATATGTTGTGAAACATTTGTGAAAGCAGCAACTTCCAGCTGAATGGCCTGACCCAGATCTGTCAGGCCATGTTTGGCTTTATGTAAAATGAGTCTTTCCTATCCAGTTACTGAAGAAAGAAAAATCTAAAGGCTTTTGAGTTCACCTCTATAAAAGCAGGGCTTACTGGGAAGCTAAACAGGTAAGAGGAAGGTTTTTTTTTTTTCTTTCTTTCATGACAGAAAGACAGACACAATCTTGGCCAATGACACTGGAAGATAGGTCATCTAGAGGGACAGGGTTGATTCTGGGGAAAGCCTTGTCCTCTTTTATTCCTGGGCTAAGATGTTTCACATGCATCTGCCCAGCACTCTTGTTTCCACCCTAGTAGAGAGCAGAAAATAATCCCTGCCCTAGTCTGGCCATAGCTATTTCACAATTATTTGGGTCAAGAAGGGCTGAGTAGAACAGCAGGCACCTGGGCAAGTACTCCCTCAAACAATGTTCTTTAAAAATTGTTTAATGTAGTAAAGCTGGGGAGGCATCAATTTTCTATTCTCTTATTTACTGGAAACTAACCTGAATTTATTCTCACTAACTGAAGCAGAATCAGTATTCTGAAACCATCAGTTCACTTTTATTATAGCTCTCCTTTTTTTTTTTTCAAACTCTTTCAAAATTTTTGGGAACAAGTTCCTGAGAGGCACACTCAAGGACTTACAATTCAGTAACTCAAAAGGCCACAGTTATCAGATATACAGCACTACTCACACATTATTTGGTTTTCAAATTTCTGTTCTACTGACTTGCAGTTAAGGGCTACACTTTATGGATATTGCACAAGAATTCACCAGGGATTAAGTATGCTTTAGAAAGAAGTTTTATTCTTTTTTTTTTTTTTCCCATGCCAGGCAGTAATTTTGGAAGGGCAGAGTGCGGCTGCCAATTCACATTTTGTCAATGTATTCCAGTGATAAGCATGATTCCATAAATCAGCACACCATAAAGCGGCTAACTGGCTGATCACCCCTAGTGTGGCTGTGGGTTACAGATTAAATATAGGACCACCACTGAGAGAGTGGATTACAAAGTGCCATGGAGCACAGAGAGGAAAAAAAACCATGTCATTTTGTGGGTATTTTGAAGGTTGTTCTTATGGAAGGAGAAAGCATGAGTTTTAGAGACTGACAGCAGGCCCAGTGACTTAATGGGCAATGCCCTTTAAATGAAAATGTGACACCCTTGTTAAAAAATTAAGAATTTCAAGACAGTGAAAATGGAGCATTAAGCCAAGTGTGTAGGTGGTGCATTCATGAAGCCAGCCCTGACTGAGGGCTTTGGGTTCAAATCTTACTCATCTTTTCAAATTTCCTGGCTTTGAAAAAATCACCCTGAGGCTCATGTTTTTATCTATTAAATAGTATTAACTGAACCTGCCTTGAAGAGTTGGGATGAGGGTGAAATGAAAAGATATGCTATATGGTAAGTGCACAGTCCTCCTACTTTCTTAATGTTAGGCCTCTTTTCCTCAGTTGTTCCCTAGGCACCCCTCTTTGACCTTCTATTCCCATTTCTCTATTTCCTTTTTAAAATCTTTCAAAATGACATTAGAGTGAATCTTATGACATGGTCTATGTTCAAACATTTAGGATCTACAAAACAGCAATTTTATATAGTTTGACTTTATACAAACTCCTTAGCATGGCTTTAAACAATAGACCTGGGCAAGTGGGCCTCTTTAAGGGCACCTGAGTTTTAGGAGCTACACATACTCCTCCTCTCTTCTTCCTGCTCCCCTCCTCTCTCACCTTCCTAGCATTTCTCCAGAAGCACCTTGTCTCACTTAATAAGGGGTTCCATGGGCCAAGGCCCTAGCCCACATTCCTGTACCTGAGATTGGGAACTTCCTATCCAAGTGACCTTCAGCCGGCTACTGGAACTGCAGGACCTCTTCACAGGCTGTTTGAGGCAGGTGGGAAGAATTTATAAATGCAGTCAGAGGTGGGGAAGGAGGAAGAAAATATGTTGCAGAGTACCCAGTGCCTCACAAAATAATTTGAACCTGGGTGGGATCCTGGAAAAAAATACGTTGGAAAGCAACCAGACCCTCAAAGAATAATTTGAACCTGGGGTAGATTTGTTTGTAATCTTGCGCCTCCCCCACCCCTGCCATATAGGCACTAGCCTGGCTTTCAAGGTCCCCTACATTCTTCATCTTACTCTTACAGTCTTACCTGTAGGTTGGTTTCTCTATACCTCCTCCTGATGACCTATGATTTCTCCAAGGATTCCAGGCATTTTTACAAACCTCCATCTTATACATGATGTTGTCTCAAACCCTTTTATCTGGTTCCTCCACCTGGTGACATGCTACTAGTTATTGAAGAACCATTTTATACATCAGCTCCAATGTTAGGCCATCTCACCATCCCAGCCCTTCCTCTCAAGCAAAGGTAGATGCTGACTATGTGTTTCCTCCTGTGACCTCATAACAACCCCTGTGAAACATCACATTACATGTAATTGCCACATCACACTGTATGTAATTGTCTTTTCTGCCCCTAAACTAAACTTGTGAAGGCTCTTCTGGGGCAGGAAATTATGCTTATTTTCAGTGCCTACCCCAGTGCCTGATACTTAGTAGTCAGTTATTTTTCAGTGCAGTGTAGTCATTAAAATCCCAGCTCTCCCACTGACCAAATGGCCGTAAGCAAATTACTGAAACCAGTTTTCTCGTCTTTAAACTAGGAGTGAACATAACTGCTTTCCTGAGTATCCCTAAATAAAACAATTCAATTGAAATAATTCTTCAAACTGCTTCACCACAATGATACATAGAATCGGTTCAATAAAGGGTAATCATTCGCTCTTATGATTATTGGTAATCTATAAGAGGCAGTAAATAGACCTTTGAAGCCAACCATGTGGTTTCCATTTTAATAAAAAAAATTAAATTGTATAATCTTGATAAAAGTATAAGAAAATGGTTTTAAAAAATTGCCTGAGGTAAGGTAACACTGTCTTGGAAATGTTTTAGTAAAAAGGGACCAATTAATACTGTTTAGTAAATCCCATTGGTTATATAGCTCTGGGTACTCAGCACCAAACTGGTGAGAAAGACTACATTATAATCTATTTGAGAGGTATTCATAATAATATTTATATTTCAGTAATTAAGTACACAGAACTAAGGGATTACAGAGAAAGTGTAATTTTAAAACCACCTTTAAGAAATTTAACTTAAAACTTTACATAAATATGTATTTATAATAACTACCGTTTTATAACTAGTTTTACAAAAGTTAAGTATTCCTACAAAAATGTCGTTAAATATGCATATATGTGTTACATTTTTTCAAAGGAAAAATTACAAGAAGACATGCTAATGGAAACATAAAATAATCACTATGAGTTCCTAGTACGGATCATACCCAGTTTGCTATGACTTGTTACCCCAAACTGAGATTTTTTTTTATCTATTAGCACATTGTGCAATATTAATAAATGTACTAATATTTGCATAATTGTACATCTAAATTCTGCATTTATTAAGGACATAGCCAAAAAGCCATGATCTAAGCCTGCAGGAAAAGTAAAAATTTGTTGATATACAAAATGACTATAATAAAGTTGGCCAACTTTGGTAAAGAATTATCTCAACCTTTGTTTTCCAAGCTAGTGCAATTAATTAAAATAAAATCGGTTTTTTTCCTAAAAAGCATCCTATTATTATGCTGCTGTTTGCAGTCTCAGGAGATAAGCCTACCTGTCTATAGTGATTAATCGCATTAATCCCCCACTTCTACCCCTACCCCCCAGGTCACATCTTGCAGATTTTAGATTTACTTAAATCACTGAAGTTGCTAATTTAAAATCTTAGAATATATGAAGACATTTGGGGTTGAGAATGAATAAACAGGGGGCGAGGGAGCACAGAGATCATGATAGCACAGTTGGGAAGATTTCAAAGGCATAGAAGGAAATCTGTTAAATCTTGTGTATTCTAGGTGGCAGAAACTGAAAATTAGTGTTAGCACTACAATAGTAACAACAACAATATCATAGTAAAGTAGTTTTTCTTTGAGTTGCCTTTTGTGCTTGAAAGTATAATAAATGGAATATCGTCTTTACTCTTGCAGTAACAGTAAGGCACCTCTGAAATCAGAGGCCAGAGGAAGCAGAAGCTTCCTTACGGAAAGAGATGGCGAAGTTTGGCATTGAGTTCTCTCTCCTTGCTCAAAAGATCCAGGCTGTGCTTTCTGAAGGCTTCTGACTGCAGCTTGAGTTCATCATAGGCTCTCTGGATCTCAGCCACCCTGCGCTGAAGCTCCCGAACTCTCAAGTTGCTGTCTACCGCCACAGCCTCTTGCTCAAACCGATCTAGTGCTTGCCTCCTGGCCACATCCGCTATCTCCAACTTCTCCTCAAGTTGGCGGATCTCTGCCTGTTTGTTCTGAAGTACCTTGCCCCTCTCCATGGACAGCTGCAGCAAATCCTCTTTCTCACGAGTGACAGTCTGCAGCCTGGCCTGCAGTTCCTGGCTCAGGGTGCTATGGGCCTCCTGGGCCTTCGCCATCTGCTCCACGGCCTGCTGGTGCTGCTGCTTGAGGCTTTGCAGCTGGCTGCGCAGCTGCTCTCTCTCCTTGGTGTGGGCACAGGCCTGCTGGTTCTGAAGCTCCAGCAGCTCCTTCTCTCGGGCCTGTGCCCGGCAGGCATCCTGTGCACACCTCTGTTTCACAGCCTCCAGCTCCTTGGTGAGGGCCTCTCTCTGGGTGGTAAGCTGCAATACTTTGGCCTTCTCATCTTGTAGAGCTTGGCTGAAGAGGCTGCTGTTCTCCAACCTCAGCTTCTCATTCTCTGCTGTCAATTTGATGTTCTGATTCTTGTGTTCGTCCTTGAAGCGGATCATCAACTCGTGGTTGGCTGCCAGGGTCAGAAATCGTTCTTCCAGCTTCTGGGCATGTTCGCGCTGAGCCTTCAGCTTCTCGACCTCCTGCATCCTTTTCTGCTCTAGCTCTGCGTTGAGCAGCTCCAGGATCTGGCAGCGCTCCAGGGCTTCATCTGACCTCCTCTTCAGGATGCAGATGAGCTGGGACTGCTCTTGGATGCGAGAGCAAAGCATTGCCTTCTCACTCTTTTCTTCCTCAGACAGGCCCCGGAGGTTTGCCAAGGCTTCCCTCAGATCGTCCAATTCTTTAAACTCCTCTTCCTGGTTTTGCAGTTGTTCATTTTGCTTATCTAAGGGCTCTCCAGGGGGTGGGGTGCCCATCCTGGGAGCCTGCTCCTCCTGAGGCATGGGAGCTCTCCTCCACTAACTGCTGAGAACAGTCTTTCCCCCTCAGATTTCAAAAGCCACAGGAGGTTGCTAAGGAAGCTTGGCTCTCTCCAGCAGTTGGTTTTCCCAGTAAGGATCCCTGTGATTGGTGGACAGGTCTTCAGAATGCAGTGAAGTAACAACAAGGGTATCTGGGGGAGTCCAGAGCCTACCTGGCCAGGCTACTGTTGACTTCCTAACCAATCGCAGCCCACAGCCCAATGTCTGGCCTGTGCACATAGAGAAGCCAACCTTATTTAATTTCCAGTCAGTATTACGGAGGAATCCTGACCCCATCTGACTTCTGGTTGGAGAAAACAAATATAAAGCTGTCAGTAACAGTCCTCCTCCTCCTCCCCTCTTTAGCTGTCATGAGAATAAATGACTGTGTAAATTCAGCTGGCTCCTGAAAAATATGCAATCTCTGAATACAAAGTAGCAGCGATATTCTGAAAGCCAGGACCTTAAATGGCTGCTAGTCCATACCTGCAGTGTTTGGCACAGCTCTGTATTGATATTTAAATATGAAATCAGCAAAGAGCAGTGACATTTCTTTTGTTTCCTTTTGCATTGTACCCATCTAGGAATAGGTAACTTATTTTTCTAAGCATTATTTTATTTGTTATTATTATTTATTTTTTAATTTGACCATAGTCATAGAGAGAGAAAGGGAAAGTGAGAAAGCAAGTTGCCAGGGACTTGAGTTGAACCAGGACTTAAACCGTGGTCAGTCATGTGAGAGTCCAGCACCTTAATCATCACACCACCTATAGGCCCCAGTAACTTTTTTTAAAACTGATTTATTTACTTTACATTAGTAACTGTTTTTTTTAAAGCCAGCTTTTATTTATTATTGCCAGAGTGCGCATTTTCTCAGTAGAGAAAGAAGGCACCCCCCAATGGAGCACAGTTATGCCACAATCCTTTTTTAAAATTTTATTTGCTATAGGGAGAAAGTGCTCACCAAAGAGAGGAGGGGAGTGAGAAATCCCCCTTCCAAGGGGGATGGCCATGGAAACCCTTTCTCTTGCATTTTTCTCTTGGGATTTTAGGCATACACACATAGTAACCCAGTGTGTTTTAAAAGCCACCAGGTTCAGAACTCATACCAGTCAGTCATGTGGGATCCAGATGCCCTCAATAACTTTTTATTAGATATTCTATTCATCTCTTCCTGGTTTTGCCCATTAGCAAATTAAGTTTATAGAAAGAAGCTTAATGAACAATGTACATGTGATTAAAAGAGAATAAGATCCAAATAAGGCTTATGATATATCAAAGTCAATTCCAGATGTATTAAATAAAAAGTAAAATAAAAATCAAAATATTAAACACAGAAACCAGAAGAAAATGAAGGTAAACATCAAATTTCTGGGCCAGGGAGGATTTTCTTAGCTTTAAATTATATTCTCAGGAAAAGTAAATAAATAAAAACCCTTCATACCATCAGGATTTTGGATGTACATGCCAAGCACTCAGCATGCTTTATAAGTTGCATGGAGCAGGACTCAAATTACATGGTCAACCATGTGGGATCCAGCTGCCTTAACCACCAGGATGTGGACTGGCCCCTCAGTGATATTCATTAGATGCTTGTAAGATCCCATGCTTGCTCATCACTCAAGCTGCCCCAAACCTACATTAAATGTGTATGAGGAAGGGAACCAAGTTGAGTCATAAGGGGGCATTTAATATATAAAACTCATACAAAAAAGTCTTTGTAGAAATCCTTTTTTAAAAAAGTAAAATATCAGGCAAGTTCAGAGAAAGAAGAGGCTGAAAAGACCTCAGAGATCACATGATACTAAAAACTATATATAACCGCAGGTTTTCAATGAAATACAACTGATTAAGCTTTTTATTCACTTTTCCCCCATGAGCACACCTGAGATTCTGAGAAAGAGAAAAACAACACCCCCCAAAGGGACTTGATGCCATGATCTATCCCCAGCTTCATCCAGTTTCAGATTATGGGCAAGTGTGTACCCTGTGTACTAAGGAAGGTCTCTAGAGATGAATCCCAAACTCTCCTACATGGATCAACCTCTCAGCGCATCAAGTTTTACTATTGTGTCACTGTCTGGCCCCTCTGTAGAAAACCTTCTAAGGATAAATGTTAAACCTTTGAAGGATAAAAGCAGGGCCAGCAGGTGGCATGACGGTTAAGGTGCTGGATTTCCACATGGCCAACTGTGGTTTGAATCTCAGACCTGGTGGCTTGAAAATTATGCCAGGCACGTGTGCATCTATGCCCAAAAATCCTAGGAGAAGAATGGAGGAGAAGGAATTGCAATGTTGCCATCCCCTGGAGGGTGATTTCTTCCTTTCCCTCTCTTTGTCTCTCACTGGTGAGCACATGAGCCCTATGGCAAAAACCTAAAAATAAAAAAATAAAAATAAATGTTAACCTATCTTCAAAGCATTTCAATTCCTTTTTTTTTTTTTTTTTCACACCTCAATCTCTTCTCCATTTCTTCATCCTGTTGGGATTTGGAGCACACACATACCACATACGTATACCCAGTTTATTTTTCAAGCTACTAGAACTGGAATTTGAACTACAGTCAGCAATGTGGGATCCAGCTCCCATAACCAGTAGGCCATAGGGCTGGCCCAGGATTTATAACATAAAATTTTTGTTCTTCTTCTTCTTTTATTTATTTATTTTTTTAAGCAAGAGTTTGCTATAGGGCGCTCATGCTTGCCAGAGAGATAGAGACAGAAAGTGAGATATCATCCCCCAATGGGATGGCTGTTACAGAACTCAAATCAGGTCCACTCGCCCAAGCGCTATAAAACCAAGCCATAGGCACATGGTGTGATGAAGGAAAGTACAGCTTTATTGCAAACTGCAAAGCAAGGAGAGTGGGCAGCTCATGCTGAAAATACCCGGTCTCCCCAAGATGTTCCGCACATGACTTTTTAAGGACAAAAATTAGGGGCGGAGGTCCTAGGCGCATGATCAGTTCAGTGATTGGTTCAAGTGATCATCTCGTGGGCATTCTTGATTGGTGAGGCCTTAGATAATCAAATTCCTCTTCAGGTGTCTGGAACCATTCAGCTTGGGGTCTTTGAGCTCACAACCAGCAGTTTCCAGCCTACAAAACATCTTACATATTGAAATGAAAACCTTCTTTCCTTTAAGAGAGAGTTTTAGAGGCCAAATGGCCCTCATTCATGGTCCATGTTGGTCATTATCATAACTAAAGTCTGAAGACTTACTCCCTACTCTGGGCAATTACAATGTAAATAGACTTTATATTTCATGAATCCTAGAAAATACATTAGGGAGTTCTTGCTCCGTTTCATGGCCACGCTGCAAACCCTTCTCTTCCATTCTCCTCTCTGGATTTTGGGCACTCATGCAGACACACCTGGCATGAGTTTTAAAGCCACCGGGTCTGGACTCAAATCATGGTGGACTACGTGGGAGTCTAGTGAGGTAATCATTATGTTATCTGCTGGTCCCAACATATAGCATTTCATTTAAAATAACAAGTCAGGCTACTTTGCAAATGAAATTTAAATCATCATAATTTTATTCTAAGAATTTTGATAAAATACTTTGTGAAAATTATACACAGGACAGTATAACTAAATAATTTATATTCTAATTAAAACTGTTGCATAGAATATGATTACTCTTATGCTATTTTCGTATAATAAAATTATAAGAAAAATGAAATATACACAAGGGTTTGTTTTGTCTTGTTTTTTAATACTCTTGTAAAATTCAGGCTTGAGATCTATTTTAGGATGGAAGCCAAAATAAGTCAAGAAGTGAATTCCACTTATCGCCAGTGGGTGGCACCAAAGTACATTTAAGTTGTGTTTAAACACTTGGGAGAGGGAAACATTTCTTAAAGCAGAAATACACTAGTAAATTCAGTTTCATTCCCCTAACATACAATTCCATCTTTTGTTAGAAATTACATAGTAAATAGGCTTCTTATGGTCAAATTCTTTATTATTGCTGATGTCCTCCATCCTTGTCCCCACCCCAGGAGTTTCTATTACTGTTTTTTACAACCTACATATTTACAAGTCCAGCAAGGGTTTTCAATGATCAAGTGGCAGGCCTTCTTGACTATAGCACAAGATTGTGGTATGATGGCAAACTAGAACATTTTGCTTATTACCAATATCCCATATTTAGTATATTTTTGGCAACTTTTTTTTTTTTTTTTTTTTTAAGGAGCAGCATCAGTTTAATTTTCCTAGCTTGCTCATATGTCTTTAATCTTGGACTCATAAGCAAATGACACATTTTGTCATTGTTAAAATCCCTTGGGTCTTATAATCAAAGAAACACATGCAGATTGACTTTAACATGCTGTATAATATGTGTGAGTGGCAATAAGTAGAACATGGGGGATCTCTGTCCCTGTAGTCAGAAAGATCAGATTCCACCTGGTTAGTAGTTTTCAATGGAGGAAACGATATACTTTGGCTCATTTGGAAATCTTGGCAATTAAAAGCATTCTGAGTGGAAGTGTTGCTTCAATCCAAGTGTTGGGGGAATTTACCATCTTCTCCCAGAGAGCAACTTCCTCTGAAGTAGAGTCCATCCAATCCACTTCAGTACCATAGCTTTTACCTGAAAACAAACAAGTTTGCATTTTAAAAGGAAAAGCTCCGGGTCAGCAGGTAGCATGGTGGTTAAGGGTGCTGGACTCCCACATGGGTGGCCACGGTTGGAGTCTCGAACCTGGTGGCTTGCCTTCTCACTCTCTCTCTGGTAAAATTAAAAATAAACAAATAAAAATAAAGTCAAATAAAATGATTCTTTTTTTTAATAAAAGAAAATCTCATGAGGGAATAAAAAGGAAGGGTCATTTCCTAATTATAATCACCAATGGAAGACACTAGGAAAAGTTTTAATACCATTGGGAGGACAGATCTAGGACTCAATACAAGAAAGACCTGTTTAACCATCTGAGGGACTGTTATGGAGATCATTCCATTATTCCTAGAGTAATGTTTTCTCTTCACATTAATGTAAAAGCTAAATGACAAGTTGTCAGGTATGGGGTTTTGGAGGATTCTATATTGGGCTGGAGGTGACACTAGATGATCTCTAAGGAACT